TGAAGAAGTCAGGCGCCCTGACTCTCTTCGCAAGGAACGTGAAGAAGTCAGGCACCCTGACTCTCTTCGGAAGGAATGTGAAGAAATCAGGCGCCCTGATTCTCTTTGCAGGAGGAACGGTCTCGACAGGAGTAGGTTCGGGACCGGACTGGTTTTATGGGCCGGGGCGGGCGCCGGTCGTCGGGGCATGGCTATCGCTCGCTGTCGGTACCGGGACCGCGGCTGCCTCGGTGGTGGTGGCGTCGCGAGGAACTGGGCCCGTCGTCGGGTTTCTGCGTCGCCCCGTTGAATATAGGTACCCACCCGGGCTACCGGTCGGCGATTGCCAGTATCGAGGCTGGTGGTCGGCCCCGACTTTTCCGGCGTTCCGGTGTCCTCGAGGCCGGTCGTCGGTCCTGGATCCTCGGCACGACCGTCGTCGTCGTCGCTCATCTCGAGATCCTGGAGGAGTTGGGCGGAGACAAATCCCTCCAGGATATCGCTCATGTCGCTGGGCGTGGCTCACTAGTGCTTACTTGTAAGCCGGCTGAGCGATTTTGTTCGGTCATCGACCCCGCGACCCTATTTATACCCGGTTTCTTCCGGCGGCTCGGCCTCGCCGCACGCATTCCGTACTGGTGACGTCACGGTCGGCCGGTGTGATGTCGGTAACGTCGGTATCGTTGGTGACGTCGTCGGTAACGTCGGCGGCGTCGGTAACGTCGGTAACGTCGGGCACGTTCTTAAGGTCCTGCACGTGGATGTGGCGCTGCCAGCGTCCGCGGGTGTCACGGAGGTCGACGATGACCGGTGATACGATGCGTCGTACCTCCCAGGGACCGCTATACCAAGGTGCCAGTTTCGCGTTGAACCCGGTCGCCTTTTTGGAAAGGGGATGTTCCCTTTTCCATACCAGCTCTCCGATTTTGTGCCTCCAATCGCGTCGGCGCAGGTTTGTAATGCGCCTCCTGTTTCTGGAAGGCTCGAGCCATACCGATTCTCACCACTTCAAAGGCTTCCTCTAATCGGCGTCTGATTGCCCGGGGTGCCTGGCCCTCTCTTGGTCGGCGGTCGTCCGGATGTGGTAGGGCAAATTCGCGACCGTGATTGAGGTATGCGGGCGTGTAGCAGGTGGTTTCCTGGCGTGCGGTGTTGTACGCATATTGTAATGGGAACAGGTGTTCGTCCCACCTCCGGTGATTTTTGCCCACGTACATGCTGATCATGGTCTTGAGCGTCCGGTTCGTGCGCTCGACCGGGTTGCAGTGCGGGGCTCGGATGGGTGTGGTTCGGTGGCGGATCCCAAACCCCTTGAGGAGCTCTGCTAGCTGCGCGGATTTCAGCTGAGTCCCGTTGTCGGAAATAAATTTAATTTCCGGGCAACCGTGTCGGTATATCACGTCCTCGGTGATAGCGCGGGTGACGGCTGGCGCAGTGGCTCGGCGCAGCGGTTGTAGTTCTACCCACTTGGTAAATCGATCCTGCATTACCAGCAGCCATGTGTGTCCCTGCGTTGATCGGGGAAGCGGTCCGATCAGATCTAGTGTGACTTGTTGCCACGGCGCAGTGACGGGTGCGGTGTGCAGGTTCCCGGCCGGTTTTCTGGTTGGTGCATTGTGCGCCAGACAGGTGGGGCAGTGCCGTACGTAGTGCGTGATGTTTTGAAACATTCCTGGCCAAAAATATAGCCTGGCCATGCGCGCGATGGTTTTCGCTACCCCCAGGTGCCCGGCGGTCGGGTCATCGTGATGCCGGCGCAGGAGTTCTAGCCGCTCCTCCCGCGGGACACACCTTTTCCACTGGTCACTGGGATCGACCTCCCGGAAGTCCACCTCATGGAGGACGTATCGGTATAGTTGCCCCTTGTCTAACCGGTAATTCGGGTAATCAGCTGGCTGATGACGTTGCAGGCCCGCGACAATGCGGCGGTACCACCCACACCTTGAGGTGCTACAGACCTCCGGTTGTCGGGATAGCGCGTCCGCGACCTTATTGGCATTTCCTTTCCGATATCGGATGTCGAATTCGTACTGCTGAAGTTCGAACATCCAGCGTCCCAGTCGGCCTCCCGGTTCTTCCAGGTGTTGCAGCCATCGTAGTGACTGGTGGTCGGTCACGACCGTGAATCGGTACCCCTCCAGGTATCCGCGCATCTTACGGATGGCCCAGACTACGGCCAAGCATTCCAGTTCAGTGGCGCTGTAGTTTTTTTCGGCGCCTTGCAGGGTGCGGCTAGCGTAAGCGATCACTCGCTCGCCGTCTTCGAGATGTTGCGTAAGGACGACCCCAAGTCCACTTGCACTGGCGTCGGTCTGGAGGACAAACCGGCGGCTGAAGTCGGGACAGGCCAGCACCGGTGCAGTGGTTAACGCGGTCTTGAGCATGTTGAATGCGCTCTCCTCGTCCGTGCCCCAGGTCCACCGTACCCCCTTTTTGGTGAGCCGTGTGAGGGGGGTGGCTAACGACGAGAAATTTGGCACAAATCGGCGGTACCAGGAAGCCATTCCCAGGAACTGCCGGACCTTCCGAACCGTAGTGGGTGCGGGCCAAGCGGCCACGGCGCTGACCTTGTCGGGGTCGGTGCGGATGCCGCGGCGGTCAACGACGTGGCCGAGATAACGTAATTGATCCCGACAGAAATGGCACTTGTCCGGGTTGAGCCGTAGCTTGGCCCGTCGGAGGCGTCGGAACACCTCGGTGAGGTGGCGGAGGTGGTCGTCGAAGGTGTGGCTGACGACGATAATATCGTCCAGATAGACGAGGACGAACGGCTCTAGTTCCGACCCGAGGACTTCGTCCAGTAATCGTTGAAAGGTGGCCGGCGCGGAGTGCAACCCGAACGGCATCACCCGAAATTGCATCAGGCCTTTACCGGGCACCGTAAAGGCCGTGATCGGTCGGCTTTCCGGGGTCAACGGGATCTGCCAATACCCGCTCTTTAGATCTAACGTGGACAGGTAGCGGGCGCCACGGAGTTTGTCCAGTGTTGCGGTAACCTGGGGCAGAGGATAAGCATCTCTCTCTGTAACCTCATTGACCTTTCGAAAGTCGATGCAAAAACGATGCGAGCCATCCCTTTTGCGGACCAGCACGATCGGGGAGCTCCACGCCCCATGGGCCGGTTCGACTATGCCGTCGCGCTCCATTATTTCCACCTCGGCGTTGATGATGGCTTGCATGGCCGGGTCTCGGTCGGTATCGTTGTTTAATCGGTTCCTGGCCGGGCCGGACGCGTATACGGTGGGCTACGCGGTCGGTCGGGCCATGGACGTTTTCGAACTCTTGGAGTTCCCTGGTCAGGAATTCCTTCAATCGGTGCGCCTCCTCGGAGTCCCGAGCGCTTAGCCCTTGGCCGGTGGCTTCGCACGCCGGCGTGCAATTAGTCGGCCGGTACTGCGGGGGGGGGGCTTCAACGTTATTCCTGTCTTTGCCCACAGATCCACCCCCAGGAGCATGGCACTCCGTAGCGTGGGCATGATGAGGAAGTCGTGCCAGTGAATCTTCCTCTCCACCCGGACGGGGAGCGTTACCGTTTCCGGTATATCGATAGGTTCCCCGTCGACCAGATGTACGGTCTCCGCCCCCTGACGTTGGGGGTACCCTAGGCGTTGGGCTACCTGGGCCGTGTCCGTGTTGATAAAGGACACTTCGGACCCTGAATCTATGAGCGCCTCCAGTCGGTGCTGGTGCAGGTGAACGGAGATGTGGGGCCGCGGTGTGTATCTAACTTTCAGGGCCGGTCGGCGGCGGCGTCTCCCCCGGCCCGATTGTCGTTTCCCGGCCTCGGGTGACAATCCCGGGTTAACACCCCATCCTTGCCGCACTGCGAGCAAAATTTTTTGGCCGGTCGTCGGCAGTCCATTCGCGTGTGGCCTCGCTGCTTGCAACGCCAGCAGTGGT